CACTTGAATCTGCCTTATGGATTCCATTTTTTTCCTATACTGAGCATTTATGGCTTCCGTAGTTTTCATAAGCTCCTCTATTTTTTGTCTGTATCTGCTCTAGAGTCACTAAGCATGGTTTTCATTGTGGACACCATCTCAGCAGTTACCTGAAAAATTATTTCTGATTTGATTTTTTCTAAAGCCTCATTCAGTTGCTTTATTGTTACCACTTTAGAGAGGCCAGGTGGATGGCTTTCAGATTGTCCCACCTCATTGTCCCCTGGGTTTGCCTTTGGTAAACTGGGTGTTTGGGATTGTATCTTAAGTGTCTTATTTTATTTTCTTTTTTTAGTTTAATTGCTGGGGTGATGCTTGTAAATTGCTTGTGTTGGGTTGCTTTATTGCTGGTATTTAGAACCCTTACCAAATGACTACTTCTCCAGGGTGTCTTCGAGGTGTACCTGGTTTTTGGGTTTTCGGTCTGTTGCAAGATCCTGCCTCTTCAATTTGTTGGGGTTGAGAAGTTCCTGCCTGTATGGCCCAGGCCCTTATTCTTTGGCACTGTGCTACAGTATTTTCTGTGACCCTCAGTCTCAGTCTTGAAATGCGAGGAAGAAAAGCTGTTTAGAGTAATCATGTCAGTTTTGGCTGTAGTGGTACCATCAACAATGACAATAGCATGAAACACAGCCTAGAAAACGACAAACTGAGCTAACCGTTAATATGCTACCTTTAACCATATGAACTGTATTTATAGTTATATAACAAAATCTAAAACAATTATATTCAGCATATAGGTCCTTAATATGTCAATTTTGCCATCAGGGATTAAAATTTAAAATGGATTAGGGAGAAAATAAAGAAATGGAAGAAGAGGAAGAGATTAGAAGTAAAGCTGGAAGACAGAGGGGGATCATGATAACTTTGGGAAACTGGTGCAGAAGACTGGAGGAAAAGAGAAAAGAAAGAGATAAAAAGAACAGAACAGCTGGGCAAGGTGGCGCTCACCAGTAATCCAAGTACACAGGAGGCTGAGGCAGGAGGATCACTGTGAGTTCAAGGCCAGCCTACAAAGTGAGCTGAAGGCCAGCCCAAACTGCATATTGAAACCCTGTCTCAAAAAGACAGGCCAAAAAAAAAAAAAAGAAGAAGAAGCACAACCACAAAGAGGCTAGAAACCACATTCACACTCATAAAAACAAGATCAAACAATGAAGGAGACAAAAACAAAAAACAAAAACAAAACAACTACCACAACAACAAACAAACGAGAGAGAGAGAGAGAGAGAGAGAGAGAGAGAGAGAGAGAGAACAATCAGCTTCCAGGTAGGTCTCTGCTGTCATTTGTAGACAGTGTGTAGACATAGTGTCCTGATCTGTGCTGATTTATCCCAGCAAGCCAGCAGGAGCTTTTTGGTGAGGTAGTGGATAATCTCAGGAAGCCTGCACCTTCTGCCAAAGACCAAACTCATTGGGCCTGCAGCTGTCAGCACACTTCCCGTGGGCCTGAGGCCAGCTGGGAGCTGCTAGATGGAGTCAGAAGCTGCTCTGAGCTGTGGACTCAGGCGTCCCCACTCCAAGATGGCTGCTGGCTAATCACTCTCTCACATGGGACGACTGAGCCCTCAGCACTCACTGCCAGCGAGAGCAGTCCTTCACATCCGCTGCTCCCCTCCACTGCTGCATCTCTTGGTGAAGACCTCTGGGATCACCAGCATTCACTGTGTGTGTGCAGGTTTGAACTGCTCTTCTCATGCAGTGAGTCCTGTCTCGGGAAGACAGCACTACCTCCTCCTTCTTCATTAAAGTTTCTCTCTTCACACTTTCCGTGGGCCTCAATTCGTGCTTCTGATCTGTACCGGATCTAGGAAACCCACTTCCCTCCTCCTTGTTGCCTTCCTCGTGTTGCTATACTCCAGCATGTGCACGGCGACTCTCAGAGAGGCTCTTTCTGTGCTGCTTGCCACTCTGCCATCTTGGTGCTCCTTTTCAAACATGCAGTTCTGTAGCATTAAATATGTTCCCATTGTTGTATGACCACACCAACATCCCCAGGGTACTTTCACTTTCCCTAACTATGGCTCTTACGTCTTAAAGCCTAACTCCTACGCTTCCTCCCTCTAGCCATTGGCAACATTGTTCTCCTTTCCACCTCTGTCAGTCTGACTCTTTTAGATACTTTATATAAAAGCAATTATACAATATCTGCCTTTTGTTACATATTTTACTCAGTGTAATATCTGCACTTCTTATCCATATTGTAGCATGTGTCAAAATTCCTTCATTTTTAAGCCAGTGTTCCATTGTATACATGTACCACATCTTTTTTGTTCAGTTCACCTGCTGGCTATTGTGAGTACTGCAGTTATGAACACATGGGTACGTTCGTCCGCTCGTGTTGTTGCTTGCAATTCATTTGGGCTCATATCCAGAAGTGGAATTGCTGGATTACAGTTTTTGCAAAGTCGTCAGTCGCTGCGCCACTTTGCATGCCACCAGCAATGCACAAAGGTCTAATTTTGTCACATCTTCATCGTCACTTGTTATTTTCCACTTTTTTGATAACAGCAATTCTAAGGGGTAGGTTGTCATAATTTGCTGTGGTTTTAATTTGTATTTCCCTAATGATTAGTGGGGTTTGCCATTTCTCTTTTAGGGAAATGTCACTCAAATTCTTTGCTCATTTTTCAGTCAGGTTTTTGTTTTTGTTGTCAGCTTGTAAATGTTCTTTATATATTTGACTGTCAATCACTTACAAATGTGTGATTGATAAATATTTTCTCCATTCTGTGGGTTACATTTAGGTCTTTGGGTGATTTTGATTCAAACACTGAATTCAGATGTTTGTTTGTGTAAGTTAAGAATCCAGCCTTTTTTGCAGAAGGATAGTCAGTTTTAACCACACCATTTGTTGGAAAGACCATCCTTTCCCCATTGACTAGTCTTGGCACTTTTGTCAGAAATCATTTGATCATCCATATGAGAGTTTATTTCTGGGCAGTATTTGACTTTGTAAGGTTGGGGATACAGTCTCATCAGTTCTCACTGATACTGCAGTAGCTTCCTAAGGATTCTCCCTAATGTAAGTGTCATTTCTGATATGTTTCTGTTGTGGCATTTCTAAGAATATTTTATGTTTTGCCTGCTTTTTCGGTGGTACGGAGATTTGAACCCAGGGCCTCACGCATGCTAGGCAAGTACTCTACTGCTGAACCACATCCTTATCCTTATTTGCCTACTTTTTTGTTATGGGCCCCTGGGGACCAGAGATTCTGTCCTGGAGACCTAATGGCTCATATGTTATTTGTATGAACAAATTATTGAATCACATTAATTAGAGGTTAGAAAAAAAGGAAAGCTATCCTCAGTAGCACAGTGCCTTCCTGGCAAGCATGAGATTGTGAGTTTGAGTCCTGGTACCAAAAGGGAAAGGTATCAGAAAAAATTAAAAATGCCTTTCCATTATTATAAACTATTGCCATGACTGATGGAACTTTAGGCAAAGCTGTCTTTTTTCAACGATGCCATTTGCCATCTTTTCTGATACTTGCTATTACAGCTGCAATTGTTACTACCCTCTGACTAATAAGGATAAATACTTTTAATAGTATTTTGAGAGGAAGGAAAAAAGAAAAGAAAATGAGGCAAGGTGAGAAAAGTTGACCTTTTTTGAAAGCATTGTTAACAAATGACACTTGCAGTTGATCAGAATTGGCTTATGGTGCTAAGAAATAGTGCTGTGTTCTGAGATGCAGTCTCATAAGCAAATACAAAACACATGTTCCTTAGCACCTCGCATCATAGTCCCTCTCGTTTGGAACAGATGAATAATTATTTGCTTTACAATATAGCATCTCTGCCAGGCGTGAAGGCACACACCTGTAATCCTAGCACTCAGGAGGCTGAGGCAGGAGGATCACCATAAGTTTCAGACCAGCCTGGGCTACACAATGAGTTCAAGGCCAACCTGAACTACATAGTGAGACCCTGTCCAAAAAAAAAACAAAACAACAACAACAAAAAAACAGCATCTTCACAAAGAGTAGCTTTTGGTCTAACTTCAACAATTTTGTTTGTATGGCCAAATTTGTGAATAAATGAAAATTTACATTTGGCAGGGCATGGTGGCACATGCCTATAATCTCAGCTCTCAAGAAGCTGAGGCAGGAGGATCACTGTGAGTTCAAGGCCAGCCTGGGCTGCAAAGTGAGCTCAAGGCCAGCCTGAACTGCATAGCGAGACCCTGTCTCAAAAAGACCAAAAAAAAAAAAAATTTGACTTGCAGTTTCTTAAGTCAAAAGAGCCTCAGATACCATGATCTCTGTGAGACCGTGGAATGAGTGAGCCAGGTTCTTCCTGTACTATATTATTTTGTGAGTGGTACTCTCCTTTGGTTCTATTTGGACAAGGGAAGTGGAGAGTAGCAGTTAGAAGGGCTGTTAGTCCACATTTGTTAAGGATGCCCAAAGGTACACATGACATCAGTCATGTGGTCAAAGGACCTGTTCAGCTGTTCTGTTCTTGACACCTGATTCTCATCATGTTTCAAAGATGCAGTATGATCTGGCCTCACCTTTGATTTTTGACTTCTTAACATTTCAGGGGGTTTCCTCCTCAAGTAATATGTGATTAAAGGTAGGTACTTGAAAAGTCTACCTTCTCAAAGTGGTATTACCCAAGCCTGGGAGTTTGAAATGGATGATTTTGAGAGTCCCAGAACTGGATAGCCTTTACCTTCTTTTTAACCTCAAGACTTCACAAATCCATTTAGTCATAAAAACTCCTTGAGATTGAGTATGGAATAAAACCAGTCTCAGAGTGCTGGAATAATCAGTGAATCCAATTCTTGTGGTATATAATCATCTTTGACCTTTCCAGAAGCCCAAAATATATAAGGCTTAAATAATGGCAGGCCATTAAAGTTCTCATTCTTGATAGCAGATCATTTAATTTCAGCTTTAACTTATTGGCACTCCAGTGTCTTAACAGAATAAGTCAGCCTTTTAAAGATGCCTTACCTAGAGTGTTTATAGATGCACTAATTGGGAAGAATCTGATGCTGTAGTTTGAAGCCTCTAAAATCCTTGGATGAAGTACAGATGCTGAGATGGAACTATGTAGTATACTGTTCATGTATTATTTCATTTCATGAAGTGGTAACTTGGCAGTCATATTTAGAAGTGATTGCATTCTATAGTCCTTTCCTCCGTCTTCTTTTGTGTGAGTATAATATACTGTAGTAGTATCATAGTCATTTATGCACTACTGTTTGCATAAGCTTTTCATTAGAAATAATCCAACAGAATAGTGCTCTCTGCTAGCTTAATACAGTTGGGTCTTTTCTAAGGCTTACTTGCCCACATACCAGAAGAATGAAATCTCTAGCTACTGTTGGTAGGATGCTATCCACGAACAGAATATTCAGAGACAGGTCTTTCTTCTGATCCTGGCTCACTTCTTGAGGAAGACTAGGGGCCCACGAGACATAATGCTGTACAGACCTATACCTGTTGGAAACAGCAAATTCAAATGACCACTATTACATCTCAAGTTATTATCTTATTATTTGTGAAACATTCTTCATTGCATTTAAAAAATATTTAACAAATAGATTAACTTCTATGACCTTTTAGTAAGTCTTAAAAATCTGATGTATAGCTATACTATATAATTGTATTATTTCAATACTAATGGGCTTTTTAATTAGTATTATAAATGACCTGAGAGTTTGTCCACAGTACTTGTTAAACAAGTCACCTTTAGTGTATTTCACTTCTAATCATATGAAAACATTTAAATCTGTGGTCAGAGTGTATACAGAAATCTTTTCAAGCTGGGTGTGGGAGTGCACCCTGTAACAGCATCCTGGAAGGCCGAGGCCTGAGGGTTATGAATCCCAGTCCTGCCTGTGCAGCCTAGTGACCTAGTGAGGCCCCATTCAAAATGGAAACTGACAAGGCCGGGGTGTAGCTCAGTATGAAGGCCCTGCATTCAATCTCCAATACTGATTTTTTAAAAAAGAAATTTTTACAAGTTAAAGATTTACCACCTTACGGTATAATAGACTCAATTTAATTCTTTGACACAAGTGTAATAAATCATGTACTCTCTGCCCAGTTTAAGGAGTTATCAGCATTGTGCCATATTTTTAAATCGGTAAAAGCAACATTCTTGAGTTTGATAATTAGAATGGAAATAACATGTAATCCTACCCACCTTATCCAACTATCATCATTTTACTTATTCTCTTCCACTTTTTCTTTAAAGCTCTAAGATACAGATATTTTTATTTCTTTTTGTTGAGTGTCATATCACACTAATAATAATGGGTATAATACATTATATTTCCTGTATAATTTCAAACTAAAATTTATTTCACGGCCATATTCTTTCCTCCCTATAAAGTGGCCTTTTCAAAAGTAATTTTTTCATACAGCTACCTAATAATGTTTTTAAAGATAAAGAAATGTTAGCACAAAAGGTTTGGCACTGTACACATGGCAGCAGTGCGAGGATAGGATAGCTGTTGCTAAGGGTGCAGGAGGCTGAAAGGTACCATCTCTCCCCTACCCTCTGATGCACTGACAGAGAAAACCTACGTAGGTAGCTCAGATCCACTTCCATAACCGGCCTCTAGCAAGAACCAGCCACAAGTTAAAAGTCTGTTGTAAGTACAGTCCTGGGGATGATGCTGAATGTGTCCGCCAGGGAGTGGAGAACCTTGAAGACCCATTTTAGTATTCTGTTTACCACACGCTCACAGTTGGAAACAGTTCAGATATCCATCAACAGGAGATTGCATAAACAAACTTGTATATTCATCTAATGTAATATTCTTAGCAATAAAGTGAAAGGAATTATTAATATGTATAGTAATGTGGATGAGTCTCAAAAACTTTATATTAAAAGAAATTAAGACAAAAGAACATTGACTGTATGATTCTGCTTGTTTGAAGTTTTAGAGAAAGTAAAAGTGATGTCTGGTGAGAGGAAATCAGAACACAGTGGCTGTTAGTGAGACAAGGAGCGGAGAGCTCTGAGAACAGCACCAGATGGAAGTGTCCTGACAGGAACGTGGACTCCGCTGCTGCGTCCATTTGTCTCAGCGCTTTAACTTTACTCTTACGATCTGTGTATTGCACTGAGTCAAAACTGTATATTTGAAAGTTAAAACATTATTCTTTTGGATCCTTGTTTGACCTTTCACCATTCTTCTGTAGTAAGCAGTGAAGCAGGATTATAGTACAACCACCATCATAAAATGTCAAAGCTAGAAACAGCCTCACAGATTATCTTGTCTAACCCTCTCATAAATACTGCGGCTTTGGTGAAGAAAAAAAAGTTTAAAATTGCCAATGATAAAATCTGCTGTAGCCACTTTCTGCACTCAGGAGGAGTTACGCAATTTTACCAATTTTGTGCGTGCCAGAAGAAGATATGACAGAGGGGCAGATGTACTAACAGCAATGCATCTTGAAGCGTAAGCACAGACTCTGGATCAAGGCATTGTACATAGATGTGTTTGGCAGAAGACATTTTCTTACCACGAGATCTGATCAGGAAAACGCACAGCATTCTGCCATTTCCCTTGGCCTGGCTGAGTAATAATTTGTAAAGAGCTCCACTGTGGTAATAAAGGACATGTGGTGTTAGTGTTTGAGTGTTTGTGACCTCACCCTCCCTCTGTGGAAGTGACCTATAAGATCACCAAAGGTTTCGTGACTTTGTGAGCAGAAAAAGGACATACAGTACTGTATTTACATAGATGGAGTTTGACCAGCTGCCCCCTGCAGTTTTTATGCTAGTCTTTCTTTAAAAAGTTTTTTCTTACCTCTGTGGCTGATGTCCTGTCTGATTATTGACTTGCAATTTTAAGTGCATAATGAAAACAGGTGGCTGTTAAGATCATTGCAACTTTGAAAGGTCTTTAAACAATTACTTTAGTTATGTTCTAAAGTGTTTACTTGTGCTGTGGATTTTTATTATGAGATGTTATCCTGAGCTGGTATTTTAAATTTTTAAATTTATTTTCTTAGTCTCTAAAGCATTTTTTTTTTCTAATTGGATTTCTTCGCTTAGATCCTTCCTTGTGGAAACTTCTGTTCCCTAACACCTTCCTTAGAAGTTAAGTTCCATAGTGGCCATGGTTCCCTTTTGACTTAAGGTGACTACCTTAATACCTGCTTTATCCTACCTGAATTATTTGCATATTGAGTGGTTAAAACAGTTAAGAGTCTTAGAATTAGAAGTGTCAAATTCTTTTGAGTCCTGAGACATTACAGTTGTATAGATAAGTTTTATGTGATAGTGATAATTCCTTCTGTTGTTGCTTCTTTAACAATTTCTGGTTTTTCTGTATTCAAGACGAACATTTACTTATGAATAATTCAGTGTATGTAAAATGAGTCTGTGAGATGAAAACTACTTAGATCTCCTGATATTAAAATAATTTTTCTTTAAGTACATATGAAAAGACATACTGTATGATTTCACTATGAGGTATCTACAGTAGTCAGATTCACACAAACAAAATGGAATTGTGGTTGCAGCAGACTTGCGGGGGGGAGGACAGTGTAGGGTTGTTTAAGGGGTGTAGAGTTTCAGTTTTGCAAGATGAAAAACTTCAAGAGATCTGTTGCACAACAAAGTGAATGTAGCTAGCACTACTCAGCTGTACACTTAAAAATGGTTAAGATGGTAAATTTGTGTGTATTTTGCCATGTTTCAAACTTAAATATTTCTATTAAAACAACTGTTCTACTTTTGAGTTGAGGAAACTAGTTACAACCAAGCAAAATAAACTGTAGTTTAAGTTAATGTATTAAACTGTTAAGCTTCAGCTTAAAATTTTCTTAGTCTCATCATATGCGTGTTTTCCCCAGTGGATGTGCTGTGTGACACTGCGGTTTTCTTCTGGGCAACTCCCTATCACTTCTTTTTCTTCATCTTCACTACCTCCCATTCCTACAATTTAAACTCCTTCCCAAAATTGCCTTCTTGATGGATTAAAACCAAATTTTAATAATGAAACAAAGGTTTGCTCATTACCCCGGTTTAAGTATTATGCAGTGTATACATGAATCAAAACATTACACTGTACCATGTAAATGTGTACAATTATGGGTCAGTGAAAAACAGTGAGTAAGTGAAAGAAGTCAAAACCAAAGACACAGTAGGCGTATAAACTAATCTGCTCTTTTTCTGTAGAACTTCTACCTGTCGCTTAGGAACACCAGAAAAAATTCTGGAATAACAAGCACTGTGTGTCAGGCTCTGTGCTAATGTTTCTAAGTATGTTTTAAGAGTTGATTATTTGTCAGAAATACATCAGAATGACCGAATGCAAAGGACTTTTTAAGATTGTTTTAACCATGGGATACTTTTCTTCTTGAAACAACTTATAAATTACTTAACAAGGATATATTCCTAGTAAGATTACATTTTGGTGTTAAAATGTGTGTTCACATGTGCTTTACTGATACAAGGAATTAATTCCCTGCATTTGAATAGCTGTAATGTCACTGAAGTGTTCATTATGCCAGATTTGTCAGATTTATATCCTGAGGGGCAAAGCTCAAGAGAGAACAAGGGAGTCCATATTTCCATGTGACTGTCCCACTTCTCAGGGCTGCGTTTAGAGGAAATGTTCATGGCCAGCGTGCTGTGTCTAGTGAAAGAAAGACTGCATCAGAACGTTCGTTATGAGCATTTCCTTTATCAGCAGATCTAGAAATTATATTTTCATTTTAGCGTGTACCTTTTTATTATGAGCATTCCACAGAGTAAATAATTTCAGATATACATACATGTGTACATTGCATGCACGTGTGTGAGACTCAGACTGTGTGTGTGTGTGTGTGTGTGTGTGTGTGCATGCGCGCTCAAGTGAGAGAGAGGGAGGAAAAAGACATCCCCTTAATAGCAAGAGGGGGGCAGAGGCTTACTCAGTCTATTATCATAAAGCTCTGCTAATGTAGCTTCTGAGTCATGTGACTGCAGAAAAGGCTATTATCTCAATGAAAAGGAAACTGGTTTTTAGAGCAAGCAATAGAATAGAAGCAGGAAGAATTTTCGAGTGTTCCACCATGCTGGATTGTCAAAGGGGGATCTGTCTGATCAGCAGCTAAAAAAGGATTTGTGTGGCTAGTTTGTCAGCTATCGTTACAAGCAAACGATAGAGAAGATGAGCAGCGGGGTGCTCAGCATGTGCTTGGTTTTACATCAAGACTTAATGTGGGTTTGGGTTAATAGAGATTTATCTCTGAGGCAATACATTTATTGCTAATTGGCGGGGCTTGTATTTTGTTTTGAGGAGTGATGTATGGTATTTGTATTTACATCACTGGTGAAGATAAAGAGACCTACTGAGCTCTGACTTGAACTGCAGAGGCTGTGGACAATTACAAGGTGTGTTTCAGAAGTGCTGTGACTTAATATTTGGTAATGTCCTTGGAATTCTGTGTGCTTGTGGGTTGGATGTGCGTGCATTTTTGAAGGGAGAACTGAGCATGACAACCAGGCAGTGATAATGTTCTTAGGAACAGATAGATACAGTGTGACCCAGATTGATTCTGTGGTCCTAATTTCTTTTGTGTTTGCTTAGTGTTTAAAGATTACTTGCAGTTTATGTGGCCAATTTCATGCTTGTTTTTAGGAAATGTTTTGGCAAGCATTTTCTAAAATTCTGAAAAAGCTTCCATCTTTAAGATGCAAATCTTTGGTAGGGGATAGTTACAATAACTATAAGCTTTATATTTGTATCTCCACATTTACTTTATATTGCCCTTTTGTAGTTTCAAGCTTAAAAAAGATCTTTGCTGTAAATTTTAAGTTACTGACTTTTTGAGTAGATGGTAAGTGGAGAATGGGGGGAGAGCTCTGAGGCCTCCCTTGAATGATTCTGTTGTTGTTATATATAGTACCTAACTTTCTCTGGTTGACTTGTATGCTGCTGTGTGCAGAAAACTATAAATAATACTCAGTTAATCTTCAGCCTGTACCTGCCACTTTTGCTCACGGTAATGCTATTAATTCTCTTAGCAGTTTGAACCTTTCTCTTAACCTTGGAAAGTATAGTACTTAAAAACTGATACTGGTGGAAAATATACATAAACTTAGGCTGAAGGTTTGCCTGAGGACTTAATTTACTATTACTTTTTATTTAAGTTCTAGAAAAAAAATATGCTCAGTTTGGGGTGTGTGTGTATATTTCCAAATCACATATGATTTTGAAATTAAACTGTATTGTATACAGTTTCCTTCTGAAATAGATCTCAGAGGAGGTAAGAAAACTATCAGGCTGTTCAGGCAGTATATAGACAGTTTAGCAAAAAATTAATTCCTGCTCTCTTTTCTAATAAAAAATGATGAGGGCAACTCAAACATAATTTTTAATTATACTAAGTACAGGAGACTTTCCTTCCTTATAGTATCTACGAACCATATCTTAGTACAATATAGTTTAATAAATCATTAATCTTATAAAATGAGATTTTAAAAAACCCTGGCACCTTATTTTAGTCTATCTACATGAAAAGATAATTTGGTTTAAAAACACAGTTGACTGTAGCTTTTATCATTCTGGATTCTTTTTTTAAAGTTAGATCTCTCCCATATTCATTAAGTAGGCTAAGAAAGATTCAAGCTCTAAAGGCACTGGTATCTTATGTTAGATATTTTAAATAATAAAAATTTCAGAGCTGGATTGTTTGACCTTTCTTTATTTTCCTTTGTTTTTCCTTTTTAATTTGTGTTACCTGACATGAAATCTTCAAATGATCCCAGAATTTTGGAATAGTTCAGGGTGTTTTTGAGTACCAACTGTTATTTCAAGATCCTGTGAAACTGTATGAGAAAATAAAAGCAAATAAAGGTATAATCCAATGGCACAATTTCATAATTTGCATTGGAACTTGATCTCAATAAATGTAGTGATTATCCTGAGTCTTGGATGGATTTTAAATGGTTGGAGGAACTTTGTGTCAAATTTTTCTAGCTATTCAGAGTATTTTCCTGATGACTTTGTGCATGGCTTTTCACATGAGCAGGTTTAGGTGGTAGTTTTAAATATATCACTTTGTGTTTTCTTTGTGTCGTAACAGAAATGTTTATTTACAGACTCCTAAGACTAGAATAGTTTTTATTCTTGATAGTGTTTTCTTCTGGAACATCGTATATCAGTCAGGCCTTTGTCTTTCTAAAGCACTTTCATAGACAGGTTAGTATACTGTGTTATCTGAAAGCATCTTAACTTTCGGAGTTTGGGGAGTGAGGAAGTACCCCAACCACATGAGAGTTAAAAGAACTGAGTTTTGATGTAGGGTAGTGTCTAAACAAGCCAAATGACTAGCTTGCAAATCCTGCTACACTAAAGAATTCCAACCATAGTAATTAACCACAAATATTATAATCGGGTCTGATCTTGTCAGGCTGAAGGGGTTTATTTCTTGGAGCTGTTTTGAATTTGTAGCGAAGATACGGTAAGAAAAGATAGAATTAAAGGTGATCTTCGTATGCAGTGTGGTAGAACTCAGTGAAATAGTATGTTCACAGGGCCTTTTGTTAATTTGAGAAAGTAAAAGTGTGGGGAGAGTTTAGTCAGGATTAAAGTACTAATATTTTAGGCACTGTGCCTAATATTTTAGGCACAGTGAAATTCTCTGGAA